AAATCACTTGAAAACAACACAAATATGCAATATGCATGCAAAACTATCCTAAACATGCAAAGTGATGACAAATGATGAGAAATGATATAAAACAGTGATGATATGATGCTAAAGTGATGACAAATGGATGCTCAAAACAGGCAAAATACACCAGATAAACCAGATGAAATCAATGTTCAGGTTGATAGTTCTAAGCTGCGATATGCTCGAATTCTACTCAAAAACGTTAGCCATGCCTTGTTATCATTCAATCCGACTCATATGCTCGACCTACACATGTTTTCAAATCTACCAATCCCTTTAACATTCATTAGTTCTGGAACGTGAATCAAGCAATGCATCATTAATGAACTCATTTGGCTAAGGTAAAAGGTCAAGAGACAAATATGGTCCCTTACAGAATAGGCTCCAGTAATAGGGGATCTCTAAAAAAAAATGATTAAGCTTTAGTAGAATGCTAAAGGTAAGTCCTAAGCTATGCATACAGAGATAAGATCCTATCTACCCAAAGTATATCAAATGAAGCTCTAATGGTAATCCCATATCCAATCCCAATATAAGAACCTAATTCTACCCTTTGCATTCATAAATCCTTTAAACCCTTTTTCTAATCATTCTTTTCTTTTCTCTTATCTCTAGGAGAAGCTTTCTCAACACTTTGATACATCTAGCGGATTTGGATTTCTTTAACAACTAAAGTTCCTGTTTTTAATATTTTAAAACCGAGGGCTTTTGCCCATCTTCAATAGCTAGCAAGAACTCTTTCTTTTCCTTACAAATCCCAAAACCTTTACTAGACTTTTTATGCTCCTTTAGCTTACTTCAACTAGAGTCTTTTACCTTTTCTCATCGATGAATCAACCCCTTTTTTTTCTTTTAAACACATCCCAACCCAAACTATAAGCGCCCACCTAGTCCTATCTAGTCCGAAAAATGCGAACTAGAACTACATGAGACACTATCTCTATCGTTACGAACCTAACACTTTCTACCAAGCTTAATCGGAATAAGACCTCACAAACACTCACAAGTGATATAGGGCTTGAAAGAAAGTCTAGGATTGGGTTCGGGTTAACTGCTCTAATTAGGAGAGCCAACTACTTAGATTAACAAGAGTGATCAAAATGAATAAGAAAATCCCGGTAATTTAGGGTATCCATGAGTTAAAATTTGATGCAGACATGATAATTAAAGATCAAATTCAGGTTCAAATTGATAGGGAATGGTATCAGATCATGACAGTGTGGTCGAGTAGAGCAATCTAGGCATGGTTCAGTTTTACTTCAATTTCATTGACTACGCAACAGACAACTAGCAACTAGGGCACTGAGTTTATCCGGTGAACCAAAAATGCTTACAAGGGCTATCTCATCATTATCCCCTATGCATATGCAACAATCCTAAATGAAACACTCTAGACTCGATCCTAAATGTAATGCAACTACATGAACACTCTGTTTTTGTGAAATCATTTTCTGAAAATTTTCAAAAGTTTTTGGTTTTTCTATGCCTTAGATGAATAGAGACCCAAGAATATAAACAATGCAACACACACTTCCTGAGACCTCCCCCAAACTTAAATCACATAGTCCGCTATGTAAATAAACTTGGAAGAGAGTACTCAGGACAAATCCAATCAAAGAAACAAAATAAAGAACAAATCACAAGAGATGATATAATACAATGGTGAAGTGAGGCGCTTACCTCAGTCGAAGAATGAACAAAGTTGGTCGTCAATGGTGATAATAGGGTTCTTAAGATCAATTAATCCTAAAGCACTATCATGTCGTTGTAGTACTGAAGGTTGTCAATCCAAATGGGTGTGATTCTAACAATCAAGATGTGATCAGAAGTCACTAAGTCAAGCCAAGAAATAACCGGTTTTGGTGTGTTCTAGCAGTCTTAAGTGAACATGGAGAAAACCGAAAATCAAGCAGAAACAATAAATCACTCGACCAACACATGTCGTTGCAGAGCACTGGATGTGGTCGAGTGACTTGGACGTGTAACAAGCAGTAAACAAAACAGAGACACTCGACTGCACAGTCTGTTGCAAGACAACTGGGTGGTCGAGTATCAGGTCGAGTAACAGGAGAGAAATGCAAAAACTAAGCAACAGGTAACAAGATATAGTAAACAACAGTAGAGTAAACAATAAAATCAATCAGATAAAGAATTCCCGAGGATGGGGGTAATTGAGTAGTTTCGTTTCCTCAGTTTACAGCTGATTGACATGCTCAATAAATTATCCCTTGACAACAAGTTCATTAACCAAATCTAAGTGCCACCGTAACAGAGACCCTCAAGTTAACCTAGTCCCAGACTCAATCACCATTGATGAGAGCTAACCTAATAGGCATTACAAATCAACAAGTTAAAGCTAAAACGCTCCCTACAACCAATACCTTGGTACAGGGCCACGAAACTTTGGAATTAGTGGTTCAGATATTTCATCGAACACCTTTTGGGCACGAAAATGTCTGGGCTCAAATTTCAGTTGATCAGAAAGAAATAGGCATTAAGAACAACTAATCCAGAAGGGATCTATCAATCAAACTCAACCACCTAGCATAATGAGAATTCTAGACTACTCTAACCCATCCTCAGAAATTTATTCACTACTCAGACATCATGACAGAGAACATAAACGTTGAATGGAATGAAGACATGATAACAACAGTGTAATAGCAGAATCATAACAGGATGAACAACAGTAAACGAAATCAATAACAACTGCTGAGTACTGAATACTGAATAGATAAAGACAAATCCGGATTACAAAAGGTCAAGAACACAGTGTCTTCGGAATAAAACTAGATAAAAACTTGTTCTCGAAAATGTTAAGTACATGCTACTTATAGCAAAATATTCCAAAACCCTAATACTCAAAACGACGCAGTATCGGGACGGATTAAGAACTGTACTCGACCCAGATGGTCGAGTGAGAGGTCGAGTGATAAGCTGGAGTCTTCTTTTCGTCCTTGTGCTTGAGTGTCTGGTTGAGTGCGGAATGGAGAAGACTCTAAAGCTCGCCATCAAGTATGTAGTCGAGTGGTGGTGACGGTGATACTCGACTTCCAAGTAGAGTGATGTGATGGAGTGATGGTCAGGTGGTGGGGGTGAAGACACTCGACCAGGGGTTCGAGTGACGTGATCGAGTATCTCTCGCGGTGATACTCGGCCAGGGGGTCGAGTGATGAGGTGAAATTGTGAAGTCCCCTACTCGACCAGGGGGTCGAGTGGTCTGTTGAGTTCGTGAAGCGTCTACTCGACCTGGGGGTCGAGTGGTTTGACATGATCAGGTACGCTTCTCCCAATTAGCTCGCCAAAAGCTCCAAATCACCTGAAAACAACACAAATATGCAACATGCATGCAAAACTATCCTAAACACAAATGATCAGAAATGGTATAAAAAGTGATGATATGATGCTAAAGTGATGACAAATGGATGCTCAAAACATGCAAAATACACACTTATCAAGTCCCCTAAACTTAGTCTTTGCTTGCCCTCAAGCAAACAATTAAGAACAAGCTGGAGGTGAAGTTTGAAAGCGGGAACTCCAAGCCAAAGCACCAGATAAACCAGATGAAATCAATGTCTAAGTTGATATTCTAAGCTGCGATATGATCAAATTCTACTCAAAAACGTTAGCCATGCCTTATTATCAATCAATCCGACTCATATGCTCGACCTACACATGTTTTCAAATCTACCAATCTCTTTCACATTCATTAGTTCTGGAACATGAATCAAGCAATGCATCATCAATGAACTCATTTGGCTAAGGTAAAAGGTCAAGAGACAGAATAGGCTTCAGTAACAGGGGATCTCTCAAAAAATGATTAAGCTTTAGTAGAATGCTAGAGGTAAGTCCCAAGCTATGCATACAGAGATAAGATCCCATCTACCCAGAGTATATCAAATGAAGCTCTAATGGTAATCCCATCTCCAATCTCAATATAAGAACTTAACTCTACCCTTTGCATCCATGAACCTTTTAAGCCCTTTTCTAATCATTCTTTTCTTTTCTCTTAACTCTAGGAGAAGCTTTCTTAACACTTTGATACATCTAGCGGATTCGAATTTCTTTAACAACTATGGTTTCGTTTTTAACATTTTAAAACCGAGGGCTTTTGCCCGTCTCCAATAGCTAACAATAACTCTTTCTTTTCTTTACAAATCCCAAAACCTTTACTAGAATTTTTCTGCTTCTTTAGCTTACTTCACCTAGAGTCTTTTACTTTTTCCAATCAATGAATCACCCCCTTTTTTTTTTTTTAAACACATCCCAACCCAAAGTATAAGCGCCCATCTAGTCCTATCTAGTCCGAAAAAATGCGAACTAGAACTACATGAGACACTATCTCTGTCGTTACGAACCTAACACTTTCTACCAAGCTTAATTGGTATAAGACCTCACAAACACGCACGAGTGATATAGGGCTTGAAAGAATGTCTAGGTTTGGGTTTGGGTTAACTGCTCTAATAAGGAGAGTCAGCTACTTGGATTAACAAGAGTGATCAAAATGAATAAGAAAATCCAAGCATTTTAAGGTATCCATGAGTTCAAATTTGATGCAGACATGATAATTAAAGGTCAAATTCAGGTTCAAATTGATAGGGAATGGTATCATATCATGATAGTGTGGTCGAGTAGAGCAATCTAGGCATGGTTCAGTTTTACTTCAATTTCATTGACTACGCAACAGATAACTAGCAACTAGGGCACTGAGTTTATCCGGTGAATTTCATCGACCTCATCAGCTCCTCTCTTCTTCTGCTGCGGCCAGCACCGCGGTCGAGTGATCTCCTCGAGTGAATTAGGCATGATCTGCTGCTAGAGCGAACGAGTGTAGCCTTCCTTCTTCTCTTGTGCTCCCGAGACTCGAATGACGAATGCTTAGCAGGGACGTGTGAGACTCTCTGCTCACTAAGCTCTGGCCTGTGCTCAAGCTCATCAAATCTCCTTGATGGCATCTCTAGAGGAGGTTGTCACTGTGGAATAGCTGTAGTAGAGGAGGAACATCTCAGCTTATTTGTCAAAAACTTGATAGTTTTGAAGCATTTGGCGAGTAGCTTGTCCTGCTTGTTGCATCACTTCTACAGTTTATTGTTGTTCCTATGAGCTTCACTCAAGCTCTTGCTCTCCCTCGCTGGAGGTAGATGTTCACCAAAGTGGTACATGCTAGTGTCGAACTCTACTGCTCTGTCTTCATCCATCCCATCCTCAGCAGCTTCTTCTATAAGATCATCCTCATCCAATGGCGGTGCGTTCTCATAGTAGAGACTTCCAAGCTCAGGCCAAAAATCGATGTTATCTCCCTCTATTATCCGTGTAATCTCAAACCTGAACCGGTGCAAGTCGCCAACCATTGCGAACTCCAAAAATTCACAGTGACGTAGATGCTCGATATCCATTGCCCATGGCTCGAGTCCATCAGATGTGATTGGGACTCCACAAGTGATCAGAATCGGAGTCACAACACCACCTATGCACAGAGCGCCTCATGCTCTCTTGTGGTTATTGCTGATAGCCTAGCTCTTGTATCCACACAGATGGATCAGAAGAAGTATAGAGAGAGGTGTGTCATTGATTTCACCTTGGAGAGACAAGTTGTTCTTAGTTTGGCTGAGAGTGCCTTTGACCATACATAGAGAATCGCAAGAATCCCAATCCTTCGCAATTCAACTCATTAGAGGTCATACCTTGGTAAAGCTCCACTTGCAGTGTGGAGAGGTACTGAATTGTCTCTTCTTCATACGCTACATATGGATACGCCATCAAAGTGTCAAGATGACAACTCTGGTACAGGTGCTGAACATCCTCCAACAATCCAAGTTGTGCAAGTGTGGTCAAGCATGGATAACTCGTGCTACAAAACTCTAAGTTTGAAGAGCCTGATATATTCCTCAGCAGGCTATACATTAGGTTTGTGCAGAAGTTTGGTGGCTCAGTGAGTATGCTCAGGCATGTACTCGTCTTCCTGATCCTCATCTATAAGCTCATACCTCTCTGTCATTGCTCTCTTCCCTCGAGCTATCTCAGCTTTTCTTCTGAAGCTATCATATTCTCTGTTCTCTCTCTAGCCTCGAAGATGACGACTCTATCTCATCCATGTTGTAGTCTGGATCAACTGAAGAACTACCACTGTAATTACTCATGATTCTCCTGCAGAAGATTTAGAACTCAAAACTCAAATGTCAATATATTAGTCTCAAAGATAACAATGAAACCAAAATTGTTATCAACAGGCAATGAAATGGACCGAATTGGATCGAGTAATGTAGAGACCGCGGTTGAATAACTTTTCTGAAGTCGAGTGGGTCTGCCGATTTGCTAGTACCAGCGGTCGAGTGGTTCCTCAGTGAATCGGAATTGAAGCCTGGTATCTTGAAACGTGAAGCTTGGTCGAGTGGTCGGCTCCAGTAGGTCGAGTGAAACGTTGAGGTCGAGTTCAGCCGGTAAAGTCCAGAGGTCGAGTAATCCTTCGGTGAGCCGGAATTGGTATGGTCGAAACCACAAGTCGACGGTCTATTCCTCTCTTTGTAATCGAGTAGTCCCTAAGACTTCGATGGTGAACGAGGTAGGGACTCGACTGCGGCGGCGCAGAGGGATCCGAGTAGATTGAGAACAGAGTAACGGTGAACAGCAAGGTGAGAAGGTCGAGTAAAGAAGCAAATGAACTCGGTGACGGCGGTGAAGCGGTCGAGTGCCTTTCCAGTGGTTGAGTAATCTGATGGGGTCGAGTGCGAGACAGTGAATCGTGGTGAGGTGCGTTTAGGAAGAAAGGTTGAATTAGGTCGAGTGGTTGAAAAATGAAGATAGGTAGGTCGAGTGATTTTCGAAAGGTGTGGTGGAAGTTGAGTTTGACATTCTCTCTCCATCTTATTTTTAGTGCGTGGTTCACACTCTGTTGACTGAGAAAAACTGCAGAAAATCTACTGTAAATTGCAGGAAATCCTTTAAAGTCTCTATAGCTCTTGTTGGTCGAGTACAGTAATGATTAAAAATTTTTTGGGTTTTAAACATCACATATACTCGACTGATGTACTCGAATTCAGGGGCTCCCGATGCAACAGAAAACTTTCAAAATTTTGCACTCCACCAGGCAATACACTCGATCTCTAGGTCTTCTGTAGAGTAAAAGTTTTGAATTTTTACTCTATCTCCACGTTGTTCCTTTGTTCTTGAGAACCACAAACACAACTAAGACAAATCAAAAATAACAAGAAAAGAAAAATTTATTTACAGAGATAGTCATGGGACTTCCTCCCAAGTGAGCTTGTTTAAAGTCATTGGCTTGACTCCTTTACTCCTTTAATCATCAAGAAGCTCCTAGAGATGAACCGATGTCACCTCTTGAAGGATTTGATCTGCTAAGTATTTCTTGAGCCTTTGACCATTTACTGTGAAATCTCCACTCTTACCAGCTAGAGTGACTGCTCCATAAGGACGAACCTCAGTGATACAGAAGGGGCCAGACCATCTGGATTTAAGTTTTCCTGGAAAGAGTTTCAAGCGAGAGTTTAATAGCAGCACCTGATCACCAACTTGGAAATCCTTGGTGATGATCTTTTTGTCATGGAAAAGCTTAGTTCTCTCCTTGTAGATTTTAGAGCTCTCATAAGTTTCTAAACGGATCTCATCGAGGTCACTAAGTTGGATCAATCGCTTCTCCTCAGCAGTTTTTATGTCAAAGTTTAGAAGTTTTACCGCCCACATTGCTTTGTACTCGAGCTCAACAGGTAGGTGACATGATTTTCCATAGAGAAGATTGAAAGGAGTTGTACCAATGGGGGTCTTGAAAGCTGTCCGTTAAGCCCATAATGCGTCATCGAGCTTCGCAGACCAGTCATTCCTTGTAATCCCAACAGTCTTTTCCAGAATTGTTTTTATCTCTCTGTTGGAGATCTCAACCTGCCCGCTCGTCTGTGGATGATAGGGAGTGGCAACCTTGTGCTTTACTCCATGATTCCACAGGAGGTTCTCAAAAACTTTGTTGATGAAATGCTTCCCACCATCACTGATTACTACCTTGGGTACTCCAAATCTCTGGAAGATTATGGTCTTGAACAGCTTCAGCACAACTTTTGCATCGTTGGTAGGACTAGCAATAGCTTCGACCCACTTTGATATGTAGTCTACGGCAACCAGTATATACTTGTTACCGTATGAAGATGGGAATGGACCCATGAAATCAATCCCCCATACATCAAAGATCTCAACTTCCAAGATTGGATTCTGAGGCATCTCATTTCTTCTTCTGATGTTGCCTTTTCTCTGGCATGAATCACACTTTGGAACAAACTCCTGAGCGTCCTTAAATATTGTTGGCCACCAAAAGCCTGCTTGAAGAATCTTTGACACTGTCTTGAACGTCGCGAAGTGACCAGCATATGCTGAGCCATGGCAATGCAGCAGGATACCTTCTACTTCATCTTCTGAGACGCATCTCCTATAGATCTTATCTTTACAGAGAGTGTAAAGATAATGCTCATCCCAGTAGTAATGGTGGATGTCTCTGAAAAACTTCTTCCTTTCATAACTGGTCAGGTTGGGAGGCTCTACTCTGCATGCCAAGTAATTGACGTGATCAACATACCATGGAGATCCTCCTTAAACAGCATTCAAGTGGTGAAACTCTTTCCCACTGTAGCTCCCATTGAATCGTCTATCGGAATGGGTTCTTCAATTTTTATCCTTGACAGATGGTAAGCTGCACCATTTTCAATACCTTTCTTATCTACTATCTCCATGTCAATTTCTTGCAATAGAAGTATCCATCTGAACAGTCTTGGTTTAGTATTCTTCTTGGCATACAGATGCCTCAAGGCGGCATGGTCTGTATAGATAGTGACCTTTGATCCAACCAAATAGCTTCTGAACTTCTCAAATGCGAAAACAACAGCTAGAAGCTCCTTCTCAGTTGTTGCATATCTTCCTTGAGCTTCATCCAACGTTCGGCTGGCGTAATATATGACATGAAGCTTCTTGTCTATTTTCTAGCCTAAAATAGCTCCTACTGCGTAATCTGATGCATCACACATGATCTCAAATTGATAGTCCCAATTAGGCGCTCGAACAACAGGAGCAGATACCAAAGCATCCTTGATGGTGTGAAAGGATTTGAGGCAGTCCTCATCGAATTCAAATTCGGTTTCCTTGCACAATAGTCTGGTTAACGGCCTGGCTATCTTGGAGAAGTCTTTAATAAATCTTCTGTAGAACCCAACATGACCAAGGAAACTTCTTTTGTCCTTCACCATTTTTGGTGGCTGCAACTGCATCATCACTTCAATTTTCCCTTTGTCAACCTCTATACCCTTTTCTGATATCTTGTGACCCAACACTATGCCTTCCTTCACCATGAAATGACACTTTTCCCAATTGAGAACAAGATTCGTCTCCTCGCACCTGCTCAATAACCTGCCAAGACTCAACAAACATGAGGAAAAAGAGGGGCCATAGACCAAAAAATCGTCCCTGAAGACCTCCACCATCTCCTCGAGTTAATTTGAAAATATAGAGGTCATACACCTCTGAAATGTTGCAGGAGCATTGCATAAACCGAATGACATTCTTTTATAAGCAAAAGTTCCATAAGGACATGTGAAAGTAGTTTTCTCTTGATCATTAGGGTGAATTGGTATTTGAAAGAAACCACTATATCCATCAAAAAAGCAATAGTATGGGTGATTAGCTAAGCGTTCAAGCATTTGATCAATGAATGGTAAAGGAAAATGATCTTTCCTAGATGCAGCATTTAGCTTCCTATAGTCAATGCACATTCTATGACCAGTTATAGTTCTAGTAGGGATCAGTTCATCCTTTTCATTTTTGACAACAGTCATTCCACCCTTTTTAGGGACGCAATGCACTGGAGAAACCCAAGTACTATCAGGGATAGGGTAGATGACACCAACATCAAGCAGTTTCAAAATTTCTTTTTTCACTACTTCTTTCAACTAATCCAAGTCCAGCACGACCCGCTCCCTGGAGCTACACAAAGGAGAGCATTGATGACCTTGTCTCCACCTACTTCACCTAAGGTAACACCACCACCACCATCGTACATACCATAGCATTTTTATTTTTCTTTGTGTGTTTCGTGTTTTGGTCTTGAATTCTTTCTCAGATTTTTATTACACAAGGGACTGTGTAATTTAAGTTAGGGAGAGGGTTCAAGACATGTTTAACATTGTGTTCACTTTTCTTATT